GAGGAGGAGGAGGAGAAGAAAAGAGCGCCAGTCCAGCGTAAAACGGGAGGAAATCTCGGGCGGGAGCGCTGGTTTTGTCGGGGCGGGGGCTGTCGGCGGCGAGCAAGAGCACCGCCTTCAGTAAAAAATGGAGGAAGTCTCGAGCGGGAGCGTTGCTGTTGCTGGGGGGCGGCGCCGATGAGAGAAAGAGTAGCGCGCCTGTCCAAGGTAAAATGGGCGGACGTCTCGAGCGGCAGCGCTGGTTTTGTTGAGACGGCTGCTTTCGGCGGCGAGCAATAGCACCGGCCCTGAGTAAAAAAGGAGGAAGTCTCGAACGGGAGCGCTGTTGCTGTTGGGGGGGCGGTTTGGGCGGTCCCCCAAACCGCTCGAGAGCGAGCCTCATTTTCAATGAAAATGCAGCCGGCGCCTCGGCGAGAGCGCCAGGGCGCCTACAAGGGGTCCAACAATAATAATTGTTTAGTAGTTAACATTCAACAACGACGGCACCAGCAACAACAACAACAGCAGCAGCAACAACAAAAACAACACCAACAACAACAGCAATAATCACATGAAGACTTTTCGCTCTTATCCGCTCGCGTGCCATCCAACACGTATATCCCAAGCCCTCGATACCCGCCCTGTTCGCCATCGATCCTAGCCCCTCGGGGGTACATCTTTTTTCACCTGCAGCGTGTATTTCGAGCAGCTCCTAGGCAGGGGAGGAGGGGACGGATGGAAGGAAGGGACAGGGGGGAGGGAGGAGGATGGAGCACGAGGAACGGGGGCCAAGAGCAGAAAACACGTGGTAGAACCAGACGGGCAGATCGGGCGGGTAGACCCTGACGGGCGGGTCGGGAAGGCGGACCCGGGCGGCCAGCATAAATCACGAGGGAGTCTCGAGCGACAGCGCGATTCTCAAATAAGTCGTACGGACAGCCACAGCGAGAGCTTGATTCCTGAGTGTCGAGGGCACGGCGTTGTAAAAAACTGCGGGGGACTCCCACGCGAGAACGCGATAACTGCATACAGTGTGAGGAAGTCCCGCGCGAGAGCGCGATTTGGGAATAAATTGCGAGGACGTATCAGGCGGGAGCCGCTGTTGTTGTTGTTGTAAACCTAAGGGCCAGGGGGCGCAATTTGGTGGCACCTCGCTTCCCCTTGTACAAAAAAACAAAGTACGAGCCCAGAGAGAAGCCCTTACTTGAAGAAAACGATGGTTACCCGGGAGGGGGATCAACAACAGTCGTTCCTTCGAACTGAGAATCCACAAGCAACAGCAACAACAACAACAACAACAACCGCAGCAGCAGCAATAGAAACAACAACCAACATCAACACCAACGACAGCAACGACAACAACAACATCAAAACAAAACAACAATAACAACAACAACAACAACAACAACAGCAGCAGCAACTCCAATAACAGCAGCAACGACACAACACAACAACAACAACAACAACGATAACGATAACAACAACATCAACGGCAACAGCAGCAACAACAACAACATCAACAACAACAACAATTTCAACATCAACGTCAATAACAACAGCAGCAGCGTCGTCGTCGTTGTACTCGTCGTCGTCGTCAGCGTCGTCATTGTTATAGTCGTCGTCGTCGTCGTCGTCGTCGTTGTCAGCGTCAGCGTCAGCGTCACTGTCAGCGTCAGCATCAGCGTCAGCGTCAGCGTCAGCGTTGTCGTCGTCGTCAGCTTCAGCGTTAGCGTCAGCGTCAGCGTCAGCGTCAATGTCAGTGTCAGCGTCGTCGTCATCGTCGTCAGCGTCGTCTTTTTCTGGCGCGCAATCAAGGGATGGGGAGAGGAGGCGGGAGCCGAACCAACCCCCGCTCCATCCCACCAGGATTTTGGAGGATGGGCATCGAACTCGAAACCACCTTCTCTCACAGGGGGGACGAATGAAAAGTGCCGGAGACTTTGGACGGGGGGGACCGCCAGAAGACGTTCTTTCTCGATTGCGGGCTGCCCTCAATGTACGTCGCGGAGCAGTGGGGGTCTCTGGTCCGGTCCGACAAGGGTACACGATGGTCTCGATGCCCTACCCCTCCCCACCGACAAACAAGGAACCTTTCGAAAGGCCTCCCACAGCTCACACATCATCCGACACTGCGAAGCAGCTCGCCTTGCAACTCAAAGCGTTAGACGCGGCCGGAACGAGGAGAAATGATGATAGTCTCGACGTCCACACGGGCGCCTCGCCCGCCAAGCTGTCCGTTGGAAGCGGCGGAAGGAACGAGGGCAGAGCTGCTCGGAGCCGCAGGGAAGGGCAGCGCAGGCCCGTGCGCGGCCAGGGCGCGAAAGCGCGGCGGAGCCTTGCGCGAGCGTGGGCTCTCCGCACGGCCGCGAGCGAGCGCGAGGACACCCCGGGCGGCAGGTGGGGACACCGCGTCTGTCAAGCGCTGCGCCCTGCCCTGCCCTCGACGCGCTGTGGCGCTCAGTACCCGCAGAGAGCGGCGGCTCCGGACGACTCCCGCACTGCCTGCGCCCAGGCTGTCTCTGGAGCATCGAGCGCCTGCCGAGGGCACCTCGCCCATGGGCACACGTGGAGGCCTCCTACATGGCGTCCGAGCAGGTGGGGTCGGAGGATCGCGCCGCATCGTCAACACATCGCCGATGCATCGCGGGCGTGGGCGGTGCATCGGCGACGCCGGCGCGGGGAACCAGTGTCTCCACATCGACACGCATCGCCGTTGAATCGGCGATGCGGCGCGACCCTGCGGCCCCAACTACTCGGAGGCCTAGAACACACACACACACACACACACACACACACACGCAAACGCACACACACGCACACGCACACTTACACACACTTGCACACACACACGCACACACGCACACACGCACACACACGCACAGACACAGACACAGACACAGACACAGACACAGACACAGACACAGACACAGACGCAGACACAGACACAGACACACACACACACACACACACACACACACACACACTTTTGGCGACGCGGCCACGCGTGCGGCGGCTCGGCCAAGGGCCGTGGGAACGGCCGCAAGAGAAGGAAGGAAGTGCGCGCCGCAGGGGGGGGCGCGCAGGCCCGCGGCAAGGGGCGCGCGAGGGCCCAGGGGGAGGAGCTGGGCCGGTGGCTGGGCAGGACGGGGCGGTCAGAGCGTGGTGCAGTGCAGAGGATAGATAAGGGGGCCGAGGCGGCTGGGACGCTGGGGCATCGAGGACAAACACACACACACACAGGACACACTTGGCGGCGAGCGAGGGAGGGGGGGGAAGCGAGAAGGAGAAGGCCTCCTGTCAGAGGGCTCGGGAGAGCCCCCCGGTCTGCCGAGAAGTTTCCCGAGCCCTCCCCGAGGACACTGAGAGCCTCGCAGAAGGCGTAGGGCTTCTGAGAGGCCCCGCGGCCCTCTGAGGAGGCCTTCGCCTTTGCACTTCCACCCCCCCCCTCGCTCGCCGCCGACACACACACACACACACACACTTCTGTTCGTTGAGCAGGGACAGACCGTCCAGGCATTCCTATTATAGTCCTACCACGAAATGTTCTCAGAACGCAAAAAATGCTCGAAAACAAAAACTTAGAACATAAGCCTCATGCGTTCAAACAAGACAGTCCCCACCAGAAACGTTCTAAGAACATTTCGTGGAAACCACAAGGTTCTTAGAACATTGTTTGGTGGGGCTATAGGCGAGCCAGGACGCTTCGCCACTGCTTGAGTTCGGGCGCACGCGGTGGGGGGCGGAGGAGCCGCTCGCACGAGGATCCAGCACGTCCCCGCGAGCCAACGCTGGGCAGGCCACAAGCAAAACAACAAAATGCGGCATCATGGAAGGCCAGAAACTGGACGGCCTCTAAGCACACACACACACATGCACAGACAAACACACACACAACACGCCACACACGCAAACACACACACACATACACACACCACAACAACAACAACAACAACAACAACAACAACAACAACAACAACAAACAACAACAACAAACAACAAACAACAAACAACAAACAACAAACAACAAACAACAACAACAACAACAACAACAACAACAACAACAACAACAACAACAACAACAACAACAACAACAGCAACAACAACAACAACAACACACAACACACTTACATTCGTGCACACACACACATACACAACACACCACATACACACGCGCGCGCATGACGCATTATGTCGCCGTGTCAAGGGCGCAAGAGTGCGCGCCGGCTGGGCCAGGTGTCCAGAGGCCACCGAGGCCGCTCGGGCTCGAGCCGGCTGCGTCCTTCCACCCTCCAAATTCCTCCGGAGGCCAAGGAGAAGTGCCAACACGCCAAAGAGGCTCGATCCTACACTGGACCACAAGACTGTGTGTCTGACTGTCTGTATGTCTGTCTGCTCCTCGGAGGAAAGGATGGACGAGGAGCAGGACAAGGAGGAGAACGGAGAAGGAGAAAGACAGAACGAACACAAAAATACGAAGAAGCCGCGATAGTGAAAGAACAGGGACGTTGCGATGACCATGCTCGCGGCCCACGCCACTTACGAGGACGAGAAGAAACGGTGAAAAGGTGAACTCCTGGCTGGAAAAGGCCTGCGGGGAACAGGACATCGAGGACGCCGTGCCGCTGCACAATCCGAGCAGGGCTCCGTCTGGATTGCAGCGCGCTCGCCCGAACGGCGACATCTGGAGCCAACCCGCGCCGTGCCGCCGTCTGCCTCCAGTCCACACGTCCGCATCAGGTACAAAACCGTCTTAACGCGTGCTCGAACTTCATCCACGGTACTCCAGATTTCGTAATAAAGGGAGGGGGGTCTCATTTCGGGGGGGGTTCTCTTCAAGGCTATCTTGGAGGGCCTGGGGGGTCTGGGGACGATGTTTTGGAGGGTTCTCCACGGGGGAGGTCTGAAATGGCTTGTCATGGAGGGTCCAGACCCCCTCCCTTTTATTACGAAATCTGGAGTATCCTTGACGGCCTGTTTGGGCTGCACCCATCGAATCGAAAGAAAGGAACAGAGCGCGGGTCCGCGAAGCGCAGGAACTTCGACTCCGCGCACCTCGCCAGCAGGCCGACGCAGAGGCCCTCACTGATGCTGCAGCCCGACGCCTTCATCTCCTGCCGGGCTGGTTCGCTCCGTTCCTCCCGCGCCGCCCTGGGCGTTGGTCATGTGTGAAGGGGAACTGGGACACACAAACAAATACACACAAATAACATATCCCCCATATATTTTCCCATAGTTTCCGGGTGTTTGTCTTCCCCCCCACACTTCCCACAGTTTCCAATATTTTCTGGGAATCGCCGATGAATTGTGGCTGTGTGTTCTGTCCCCTCCTGAATGTAATTCGTGCGCTCCAAGCGGCACTTTTGCCTTCAAGGGTTGAGAGAGTGGGCAGCTCTTCCTCGGCGGAAGGTGGCGGAAGTTGTGTTGTTTCCCCTCCTGAATGTAATTCGTGCGCTCCCAGCGGCACGTTTGCCTTCAGGGATCGAGAGAGTGGGCAGCTCGTCCTCGGCGGAAGGGTGACGGAAGCAACACGGGGGGATGGCTCCGCTGGCGGAAAGGGCGGCGGAGGGCGGACGGAAACGGGCGGCAGCAAAGTAGACAGTGGTGCCCCCAGGAGTTGCTCCTCCTGCTCCTCCTCCTCCTCCTCCTCCTCCTCCTCCTCCTCCTTCTCCTCCTCCTCCTCCTCCTCCTCCTCCTCCCACTCCTAGCCCTTTCGATCAGGGTCGGCGGCACCGGCCGTCAGGCCTCTCCAATTGCCAAAAAGTTCTGGGCCCATGGCTTCCGAGATCATCCGTATGTTCGAAGTAGTGCTACCAGGTCGCGGCCTGCGAGGCGCGACGCGCGACTATCGTCGCACCCTCGCGCACGCGCGCGATGATCTCCGCGCCCCCGCGGGTGACCTAGGTGAACTCCCTGGGGGGCCGCTGGGACAACTCTCGACGCCACGGGCGAACTCACACTTCCCATAGAAATTCTGTCCAAAACGCACCATAGATAGCTCCAAGGGGGATTGTCGAAGGGGGCCAGACCCCCTCACGTCGTCTAGCCACAAGAAACCGATGTGTGGTTTTCGGCCATTTTCGGTCCTCCGGGGACCGAGCCAGAACCCTGGACCGTCAGCGACTCGGAATTGAAACGCTGGCCCCAGGGAGGAAGTCCAGACCTCCACGGGTCCACGCCGTCAAAAATCACAACACCCGAAGCTTTCCGCAGGCATGCTGCCTCAGCTCCCCCCGGCCCTCGCGGGCTGCCCTCGGCAGACGCGGGGGGGCAACTGCTGCCAGTCAGCCCTACGGGGGGGGGGGCTTAGGTGGTCAGCCAGTGCCACTGGACCCTCGGCTGAAGCATGTCCGCGCGCGCTGCGGGCGCCATGACAATCGACAGTCTAACCGTTCTACCCTTGAGCTCGAAATTCAACATGTCTTTTACATGTTTCAAGCATGTTCGGTGCATGGTCAAACAAATACTGCAGCACTTTAGAAGCACAGCTTCAAACATGCATTCGACATCCGGAAACAAATTTGGAAATACGCATACTCACCATTGATCGCCTTCCGCAACTCGCGCGCGCGCGGGCAGGCCCAGGGCGCAGGCGACGCAAGGGAACGAGCCTCTGCCCCTCCCTCCTTCCCTCGCCGCCTCTGGAAGGAACGCCCCGGTGGTCCGAGCGATGGTGGTCAATGCTGCCTGCCTGCGCAATGACGGGCTGCCGAGACAGGCCAGGCCACCATGTCGCAAGCTACATTCGGCATGGTGGGTGGCCGTTCTTGCAAGGACCTGGCCCCGCGAACCACCATCCGAGATTGCGAAAAGGTTCGGGAACTCGCTTTTGCACGCTGGCTCGTCCAGAGACGTCCTATCGCCCTAACCACCATCATGGAAACCCAGACGCCCTCTTCAGCCCCAGTCCCCGACGTCATGATTGACATGCAACGTGGAGCCGCGGAGCACTCGGCTCCTTTCCCGAATTCGGTTCGGGGCCGTCCTTGGACGACACTGGGACCACCAGGCACAGGCCGAAAACTGCCAAAGAAACTCCGTCGTGACATTTCCAGGACGCGAGGGTCCCTGAACTCGTGGCTCAGAAATCGACCCCTGCACCTCCCCACGGATGTGTTTTTTTTTTTTTTCATACAGCCCCGTGAGAAAGCTTTTATGAAAAGTGGCACAGGGCTGGAAGCCGAAACGATGCTGAATCAGACCAGGCGGGGCCCGTCGCATCAAGCGATATCCGCCTGTCGATGTTACGGAAGGACGTCTCGTCTGCATTGCGCGGTGCGTGTTAGCCATCCGACTGTGGGAACGAAGCCGCAGGGCAGAACGTGGATTCGACAACGCCAGCGGCCCTGTGAAGGATGAACTCGGAAGAGCATCCGCGCATTAAGTAGCATCAGTCTCCCCGCGTTGCCACCGGGCGCGCAAGCCCAAGCATGGCATATCAATAACCTGGCCCATGGTGCACGCCTGCGCACGCTGCCAACATTGAACAGCGAATCTTACTTAATGATCCTGTTTGGCTGCTGCCGTCCGCAGATCATTCAAGATGATCGTAATGCTCTCCATATCCACAGGATGGGGCTTTGTTATTTTATGACCGCGCCGGACCTCTCCCTTCCCCTCCTCCCTCTCTCCACCAGACAATGATGATGATTGTGGTCAAAGTATGATGTGAATATGATGGTAGTGGTGATGGTGAAGGATGGATGAAAATGATGGTGATGCTGATGATGACGATGAGCAGATGATGAAGATGACTCGAGCGTTTTGCTGGTTCTAGCACTCCTATAAGGGGGCGGCCAGGGGTATTGCACGGCTTCCGTTCGCGCCAAAATGGCGGGGATGTCTCGAGCGGTTTGAATGTTTCCTCCGCTCCCGGAGCAGATTTGGAGGATGTTTCGAGCGAGGCACTAAGTTAGGGGGGCCGCCAGGGGTATTGCACGGCCTCCGTTCGCGCCAAAATGGCGGGGATGTCTCAAGCGGCCTGCCTGTTTGCATGCCCCACATCATCCGCTTCTGGAGCAAATTTGGAGGATGTCTCGAGCAAGGCGCTCGCTTTCGCCCCCCAGGGGGGCCAAATTTAGAGGATGTCTCGATCGGTTTGCCTGTTTTGGTGGCCAGATTCGTGGGCGCAGATCCTCCCCAGGATGTCACAAGAAGCTCCAGCAGACTCCAGGAGGCCCCAAGAGGCCACATAAGGTCTCAGGACGCATCAGGAGGCCACGGGAAGATTCAAGAGGCCACAGGATGTCCCAAGAGGCTCCAGGAGGCCCCAGGAAGCTCCACGTGGCCTCAGGCAGCCACAGCCCCAGGAAACCACAGGAAGCGCCACGAGGCCCCGGAAGGCAACAGGAGGCCCTGGGAAACCCCGAGAGGGGAGGCCTCAGAAGGCAACGGGGGTGGTTCCAATCCCATGTGTGTTACTTATGCTCCTATAGATCGGGCCTCATCTGAAGCACGAATTATGCGTATGTTCATATAGATGGACCTTTTTTCCTGTGTGTACAAATCCAAATATTTTACGTTTGTTCCTATAGGTTAGGGCCTCCCCTGGGGCACGAATCCTCTGGGTTTTACGCGTGTTCCTATGGATTGTCTCCAATCCGCAATGTCTTATGCACGTTTGTTCCTATTGATTGGGCGTCTCCTGGGGCACGAATCCATCGTACGAGGTCCCAGGATTTCAGGAGGCCCCAGGAGGCCACGCGAGGCTCCAGGAGGCCTCAGGAAGCCACTCCAAGCCCCAAGAGGTCCCAGAGCGCTTGGGAGCGCCTGGGAGCGCGCCGGGAGCGCCTGGGAGCTCCTGGGAGCGCCTGGGAGCGCTTGCGGGAGCGCCTGGGAGCGTGCCGGCAGCGCCTGGGAGCGCCTGTGAGCGCTCGCTGACGCCTGGGAGCGCATGGGAGCGTTTTGGGAACGCCTGGGAGCGCCTGGGAGCGCCTAGGCGCGCCTTGGAGCGCTTGGGAGCGCCTGGAGGTTTCACGAGGCCCCAGGAGGACCCAGGGCAATGCGCAGAGACGCGCTCGTACTACTAAGACTCATTAGCACTCCAATTCGTGTGCAGTTACATGCATGACCACTCCGCAGCAACTCAAGCCCGCTTACACTCGAAAACTATTGCGCTTAGACAGTCACGGCGAAGCGGTCCATGCGATTAGATGCACATATGGGGAGCCCCACGCAGTGAATAATTGATTTTGTTATACATATGTTCCCGGCTGTGTGGATGCCAAACCTGTTCGGGCGTGTTCCAATCGTTCTGGCGGCAGCTGCCCTAAGCATCGGCAACCTCTGCCGTTCAGGCAAATAGAATGGGAACCACACGATCCCTGATAAATAAAATGGTAGCCGGACGGTTGCCGCGGTCTGTCGTGGTTCCCCTGGGAAGGTCGGGGGGGGACGCGAGGGAAAAGAACATGCAGATGCGAAGAAGGAGGTAAACGAAGAGGGGGGAGGAGCAGAGGGAGGCGAGCGAGGATGCTGACGATGTCTCGGCGGAACAGCGAGAGCTAAGCAGTAGCCGGCGATGTGGCGAGAACGCATGTCGTTTTCGTCGTGGTCGCCGTGGTCGCCGTCGCCGTGGTCGCCGTCGTCGTCGTCGTCGTCGTCGTCGTCGTCGTCGACGTCGTCGTCGCCGTGATCGCGGTCATCATCCTCGTCGTCGACGTCGCCGTGGTCGTCACCGCCGTCGTCGTCGTCCGCCACTCCTGGCAATCACGGCTGCGTTCTGGGCCCGGGGCCCAGGACCCGCCCGTCGCTGTCGGACGCAACTCCCTGTGGGGCGGGAGCGAGCCCACTGCAAAAATCTGGCCATGGCGGCACGTGATCGATGTCTGGCGAAACTACCGAACGATTGGACGCGTGCGGGTTCCGTGTAACATACCGGACGCGCTTCCCGTTGCCCAGTGGTCCCACTTTACCGGCGGGCGGTGGCGGGCTTAGCGTGTAGTAAAGTCACACACGGGACGCACTTCGCGTATAGTGGCGTGCCCCAGCGTGCCCACTTGACGATATGTTGTGTTGTCTGCGTTTCGTGTATGAAAAAAGGAAGCATCAAACGTAACGATGGGCATGGTTGAATGTATATATATATGTGTATGTATATGCCTCATTCGTTTAT